CTTGGATATTCTCCTTCGTGATAGACTGCTCAAAAGCAGTCTTAAAGGCTAGTAGGAAGGTCTCTTTGCTGATATAGTGGGTGCGGTTGCGTGCCAAGCCTGAAATAGCGTCGCTATACTTGCGCTTCAACGGCGAGAAGCAGGCGACGTTAAGGGGCTGCAACAGGTGAGACGAGTGCGCAGGCATGCAGAGAAGCACAATATTCTTCTCCTTGCAAAGATCTTAGAAATTGACAGAGCAATGGCTCTTATGGCCATCGATAATGAGCAGTCGATACCCACCCACAGTAGAGCTCTTTGTATGGGTATCAAAGTGCTCTAACCAGGCAAGACTAAGCTGATTATTCGTCCAGCCATTGGGACTGACTTCAAGAACCCAGTCGGCAGGCAAATTCTTAAACTAGACGTTGATAAGCACCTTGCCCGCAAAGACAACGAAGGGTGGTATTCGGCGACCCGACGCGCCCACGCCTTGGATCACAGTAACCCACTCACGGTTGCCTGGCTGTATCCGCTTCTTTTTCCCATATCCTTCTGATGCTGTGATAACTAACTGTGATAAAATCTTGCCCATCATAAAGCCAGTCTCGTCAAAGTTGTAGATATCGTCGTCCACAATACCCCACTTCTGCCTTGTCGCCTGGACTAAGTCGAACCAGCGCTGGATAGCCACTGGATCCTCGCAGGCGGCTCGCTGGTGATCATAGGGACGGCTCCAGCGCGTACAGAGCTCAGGAGTCCGCTTAACGAAGTTGTCAACCCAGTTCTTGCCAACAGGGTTGCCACCACGCTCCTCCAATAGTTTATTAGCCATTACTCGAACGTCAAGCTTTGTAGGCGCAAATCCTTGCGCAGACTCTTCAAGAATACGCTTAACTATAGCCTCCTCTTCTAGCTTATCTAGACGCTTCGATTTCGGCTCGCAGTCGCGTCGAGGGCGCTTTCCAGCGCGTTGATTAGATAGAGTTTTTTGTGGGACGTTGTAGATAGTAGCAGCACAGTTTACACTCTAAACACGTTGCGACTAGACGTTAAAAAGAGCAAGTTAAAGATTAGATTTAGAATATATTAATAGACGGTTGCGTTGTTAAGACATCACGCGTTATAGTGATGAAGTTGATGGGCTAGTGGGGCGTTAGCGACTCGCTTGGGTTAGCGACTCACTTGTGAACCACGTTATACAATACAAAACGGCTGTAACTTATGTAGTAAGCAATCAAAATATTCGCACAGGCCAAACTTTTCTCAAAGTTTCTTTTTGTTTTGTTGCTTTGGAGCTTTTGGAGCTTTGTTGCTTGGAAAGCCTGGGTGGGGGTATCTTTGGATACGTTTCCTTTGCTACTTAGAAGGATGGAACTCGGAGGATGGGGGATGGAGGAGCAGAGAGAGAGAGAGAGTTCTGTGTCGCATGGAGGGAACAAACGTAGGAACATTATTTTGGTCGCTCGGCGGCAATGTCGCTCTCGGCATCTCTCTCTCTCTCTCTCTCTTTGGGGGCATCTCTTGGCAAAGATGATATGGAAACAAAAAAAAATCCGGAATAAGAAGGCGCCTGGGAGGTAAGGGTGGGGAGGTATCCAGTAGTATGGGAAGGAGCAGGGAAACTTGGATTAAATGGGGGAAAGGGAGGGAGGGAAAGATCCAGAACAGGTCATCGCAGTGGGAGGAGGGAAGGGATGCTTTCGTAGCGCAAGGGGCATCTTGGGTATCGTAACAGGGAGAGTGGAGGAAGGGTCTATAGGTACTTTTTGTCGCAGAAGGGTATTGGTCGAAGTAATGGCTTTGTGGCTTTGGCAGAGCATTTTCCAGAAATGGGGTTTACCGGCATTAGGTATTATCGCAGTAGGCAATCGTCTGGTATTATTGGGATTGTCGCAATCGGTTGTTGTTGTTGTTGGTATCGCTCGGGCGTTGGGTGGTATAATCGTACAAGTCGTAATAATTAGGTCGTCGTAAGGGGTAGTAGGTCGGACATGGATTCACATCACCGGGATGTTTGTACCGCTACGAGGTATAGGTGGAAGCCGTACATTAAGAATGTTCGTATCGAAAAGTTGTTGGTTGAAGTCGTGCAGGCGAAAAAGGTCAGAAGAGACCCTTTCGCCGAGGTAGATTCTAAAACAGGAGCAAGTTTGTCGAACGCCGTTGTTGAGGGAAGGTAGAAACGCCAGATCCAGATAAAGCGCTAATGTCATGTCGTAAAAGGTGTTGAAGAGAGGAACAAGTGATGGCGAAGTAAATTTTTGGCCAAGGTGGAAAGGCCCGATAAGAAGGTGATGAATGAGATGCATGACGAGGCGCATCACATGATGGTGTGATAGCCCTTCTCGTTCATGACATCGATCCAGAAGACATCTTTGCCATCGTCAGATTGGCGCCATGTCTCCTTGAGAAGCTGGATCATTGTGCGAAGGGGCTTGTTAGGCAGCCTAAGCGCAAACTCTTGCAGACGCCTAATGACAAACTCACGCGCAGAGACAACCTTGGAGTCATTGGCATGGACGTCGAAGAAGTCTACCGACGAGACAAACCGAAGCTCGGATGCAGCGGCGACGAGAATCAACGGCTGGATGCAAAAGGTGCCAGGCGACGAAGGCAGCGACTCTAGAGATTTGATGATGTGCATGGCAAGGGAGTTGAGCCACAGCTTCATGTCGGTGTCTTCAAACGGCGTCTCAAAGCGCGGCGTAGGAAACTGAAAGTCCACGGTGTCAGTACCTTTGAACATTTCAGATCCCAGACGCTTGCGCAGAATCGAGGGGAAGACACGGTAGATCTCTAGCAGGCCGGCAAGGCGGTAAGCCTCAGCAATGGTGACAAAGTGTTCCTTGGGGGTGCGTTCGTCACCATAGTCAATCACGTCATCAACCGAGGGGCAGTCGACAGCAAGGAGGTCCTCTTCCAACGAGGCAGCGTTTTGCAGGTTCTCCTGTCGCCGGCGAAGATCCATGGAAGATTCAAGGTCCATGGAGCGTTCCTTGCGGACCAGGCGGCCAACCTCAGCAAACAGGAAGTGGATCATGGGTGCGATGCCCGTCCAGGGGTGTGGAACCGTCTTGCCATTGGGGCCGCATGCAGTGGGCGCGTTCTTCCTCGAGGTGACACTGGGCCGCAGTCCTGACTTGGGAGAGAAGCTCATGGCGTCTTCCGTGACGAAGCCCATGAGCATCTCCCAGTGGATCAGAGACTCTTCGAAGAACTGTGCCTCGCGCTCCACATCTGCGCCGCCAGACCGGCTGAAGAGCTTTGGTAGAATAAGATCCCTTGCCGTGGAGAGATACTCGAGTCCAAGCGCGCTACTGTCATGCCACGAGGTAGTGAGACCCAGCAGCATGATGCTCAAGAAGGTCTTGGTAGCGCTCGTCTGACCACTGTGAGCAAGGGGGAGCTCGGCCTCGAGCGCCTCACGAGCCTTGCGCTGGAGCTCCAGCCCCATAGCTGCCATGTTGGGAAAAGTATTAGCCAAGTGGGCCGCCGCCATAGACTGGATGGCGTAGTTGATCGAAGGGGAGTCCTTGTAGATGCGGCCGATGGTAGTTCGGAAAGGGTTTAGAGGAGAATCGAAAGCAGAAAAAACGGCACACACGTCCTTGAAGTAATGTTGGACAAGAAGAGATTCGACATCGCCGGATGACGACGGGTTGGGGGAAGGACTTGGAAGACGGTACAAATCAAGAAGCAGTGAACGCGAAAGTCTAGGGCTAGACTCGCGGGTAGAGTCCCGGTCCAACAAAGGCATAGAGGAAGATGCAGCTCCCTCTTGTTTCTGTGATGAAGATGATAAGTCGTTCATGTCAAACGCCAGACTGTCTAGTGCGCCAGAGTCGAAGTCAATCGGCTCAAAGGCAGCAAAGTTGAATTCTTCGTTGGGCAGATGGATGGCGTCGACGAAGCCGTCAAACATGACGGGATTGACATTGTTGACGTCCTCGACGGGGAAGGACTCGTAATCTCGAGGAGAGTCACCATCTTCGGTCGACGACTCTTGGAGACATGCGGGCTCCTCGAAGCTGGGTGGTGGCGACGGGACGACCGATGACGTGTGTACTGTGGGGATCTGCTGTGCAATAGTAGTAGTCGTGTTCTTCCTGCCTGCAGGGAGCACGGCAGCCAAGGCCTCGATGCCGCTGGCGACGTTCTGTGGGAGTGGTGACTTGGCACCAGTGCATGTGGTTGTTGTGGTGATGGTGATGGGAGTTGACCTTGACCTAGGGGAAGTCGACTTGGACTGGTTGGGAGGCGTAAACACCTCGTACTTGGTCGACCACTTGAGCGTCTTCTCGTAGCCTGGACAGGCAACGTTCCTCTTCTTGCACTGGAGGCACCCGGGGGCCGTCTCGTCACATTTGAGCTGTTTGCTTTTGGTCAGCAAGTGTGGTCCCAATTCCCAATGTGGCAATATCATTGGGAGTGAGGGCGGGGGGAAGGATCGGGACTGGCATACCCTCTTGAGCTTGCAGCGGCCACATCCGTTTCTCGACTTTGTCTTCTTGGCCTTCAGATCTCTCGCCAATACCTTATCTTGGGCCAAAGCGGGCATGTTGAGGTCTGGTCTCGAGGGGTTGACGTAGTAGAGGAGCAAGAGGTCTGGGAATGTCAAACGACAATGGGGTGAGATTTCCGGAGCGAAGCAATAGGACTTAAAATGCGGGACCTGTTGGCTGGCGGATGCGAGGCGTGTACATAATGCGCGTGACGGCCCCATGACACAGCCGATAGGTCCTTCGCCTATCACTCGACCGGGGCTGGCCCAGATAGCTGCTGATAATAACGTCGCGCTGGTGTGCTGAATGCAGGGCGAGCAAGCCTAGATTCCGAGCTTCGGCTTATTCATGGACGTACTGTGCATCGGCACGAGGCCTATTGGCCGGCCAGCGTGGCAGCGCCTGGCTGTCGTGTCGTGCAAACCCCCCTATGGGAGGACGCCCGGGAGGCGGAAAAGTTGGACAGTGAAGCAAGGGCTGCTGCGCGTCGCGTGGAATCCTTCTCAGTGGCAGGGCGATAACAAAGGGCCATGATGAAAAGGCACGAGCTGCATGCTGAGTATCTGGCGATAGGACCAAGTAGGGCTACCCCACAACCGTGGCGAGGTGGGCGGGAACGAGTGGATGATATGGCTGGTTGAGGCTTAGGCCGCGGCTCCACTACAACCTGCTGCTAGCGAGCATCATGCTGGCGGCCCATTGCTTTCAAGATAAGTCGGTCGGGCCAGAGATAAAGCCACGTCTGCACGCATGCCATGACGACGATGTCGGAGTATGCAGCGAGCAGCCTGCGTAATCACATAGTATCGCAGCGATAAGAAGAGGCGCCTCCATACCAGCGCCAGTCATTGCCATTCTCATCCGGCCAAGCGATTCTGCTTCGATTGTGAGTGTGAGTGGATGGGGTGCTTTTTTTCCCTGCCTTCTGACGAGGGCGTACTGCTAGTTTGTACGTAGGTGTGGTAGTGGTAGTATAAAAACCTTGGGCTTCGAGACGAGGCACGGCCGGTCGTCAGCCGGACCATCTTGGCCGTGGTCGTGGCCGTGGTCGTGGTCGTAGTCGGGGCGCCAGCGCTTTTGCTTATTTCTTTTTACCCCGCATGTCCATGTGGATGGGGGATGCCGCAAGCATGTTGCAAGTATGATGTGTGATTTTCTGGGGTAAAGCAATCCGGGGACGGTGCTGGTGCTGATGCTGCTCGAGAGGAGCGAGCGAGGCGGCCGCGATGTGGTAATGCCAAGCTCTCGAGGGTGCGTATTTTGGCCTTCTCGACGTGCATGCCGCATTCGGTCCAATTGGCGCCGCGACATGTGTGTGTGTGTGTGTGTGTGTGTGCATGCAACGCGTGCTGGTGGTGGACCGTGAGTTCTTTTGTTGCCCGCCGTCCCGACGGGAAACTCGCAAGGCCAGCCCGCGTCATGTGCTGTTGGCCTTCGTTCGGATGCGTGCACCACCACCTCACCGTCGGATGTCGACATCCCGGAACTGGCTCTGAAGCTGGGGTCGAGGGGCCTGGTGACGACGGCACGGTGCGAGTAGTCGTGAACGCTGATGTTAGTGTTAAGTGTTGGTGGTGGTGGTGGTGGGATGATCCTAGTGCGCAGTCATTGCGCCATCAATGACAACGACATCACATGACTTCCCCGGTGCATCATCATAATCTCTCGAATACATAACTGTAACAGTAAGGCACCTGTCTTCGTTACGTGCCTTTGTTGTGTGCCATGGGCTCGTAGCTGCTCTGACCACTCTGTATACAACTAAGACGTGGCCTAAGCCCCTAGCCTCAACCTGTGTTAATACACATCCAAGTCACGGGTAGCACGCCACCTCTAATCCCAACCAACTACTTTGAAATATATTCTGCATTTCAGTACCTATTTGTATACCCCCTTCCACGAGAGCTAATTCCTCCTAGCATAAACCCCAAGCCCGTTCGTTCGCAACAAGAAAGAACCCCCTATATACATAAACGCAAACTCTCCTGTTATCATTGTAGAAAGGCCTTAAAAACATCCCAGCCACGCTTTGGCAAAACCTTCGTGTGCTTGCCACATATATGCGCAGAAAACCAATCAAAAATGGTGTAAATGTACCACCGACATTGGAAAGCCCCCGCACAACTCCGGAATGAAGAGAACGGACAAGAAAATGAGAAAAGAGGCAGCAGAGTAAGGTAGAAAGTGGCCCAGGAAACATGAAAAAAGAAGAAGAAACTGGGGCCCCTCAAATATGTAATTCGTAATGAGAGCGAAAAGAGTAGAAGAGAAGAAGAAAGAGAAAAAAAAAATGATACAACGGGGTATCAGCTACCATGAGGGTACATTGCAAAGCTCAGTCAGGATCCCCGAACAAATACTTCTCTTTCCTTCTCTTTCTCGTTCTTTGATCCGGGTCCAGCCGAACATATGTACCTTTGGGCAAAAAGAGAGAGAAACGAATACGGACAGCGGCGGCGCGCCACCTGATGATGATGGGCTTGACTAGAAATTACCTAGATTGCTGATGGATGGGACCAGCAAGAGAGGAACAAGAACAAATGATGAGGAAGAGAGGGGGAAAAAAAGAAGAAGAAAAAAAAATTGCCCTGTGTGCGTGCGTGTGTGACTGTGAGTGTGTTCATGAAAAGAAAAAAAAATGGGTGACGCGACCGAGTTTTGTACACTGAAGAGAGAATCACCACCTCTCTTCAAGCGCATCCGAGCCGACAGACAAAGACGTTGTCCGTGGTGGATTAGCTGTATTTTTTCCGTCCGCACAAAAAAGGTCCGAGATATCAGGATGTGTCTGACGTTGCCGGCAAAATGAAGTGGCCGTATTGTGGAATCAGACCTCGAATCTCATACCCATCCCTAAAGGGCATTGCCACCAGGGTATCTTGATTGGTTCGTCATGGCGGGTGGCATCATGGGTCCGCCTCTTGCTCTGCCCATACCCCCTCGGCCTCGACCCCGTCCTCGTGCAGCTGGAATCGCAAAGTCTGGGTTAGCTGCATTGGCCTCCAGAATCACGTCTTCTTGCCGCAACGGTCTCCGAGCACCAGGGAAGGGTCCGAATTGCCCTGCTGGCGCACCCATCTCTGGCCGCCAGTTGGGGTTGATGGGACGTTGGGACACAGAGGTAAAATGCGATGCTTCGCTGGCAGCCGGAGAACGCGAGCCGTCGGGAAGATCGTCATAAGAGCTGGTGCGCGGGAGATGACCATCGTTCAGGTTGTTGGTAGAAAGGAATCCCGGGTTTGGAGGTGGCATAAAACCACCTGGCATCAGTGATGTTGGCAGTGGGGCCGGTGCCTGGGCTGGTGGAGGTTCTGCAAATCTCGGGTCAACATCTTCGTAATAATCAGAGCTTCGCTCTAAGCGTTTGGATCCCTCAGGTTTGGCCAGCTGGGCAGGCGATGCGACTGGCGAATCCTGAATCGGAGAGAGACCACGGTTATTGTTGCTCGGAGTGCCTAGATTTCGTTCAGACGGTCCTTGTTCCTGGTTCCATCCCGCTCGAGCGGGAACAAACTGTTGCTGCTGCTGCTGCTGTTGCTGGGGCGGCTGTTGCTGTTGTTCTTGCTGTTGCTGGGGCGAGGGCCGTCTGTGTGTTTCGCTGTGTCATGTTAGCAAAGACCTAAGACTCGGGACAGAATATACTCACTCCAAAGAGTATTCGCTAGTTGGGCTCATTACACCATCTGAAGGTCGCCTTTGGGGCGCGTTGGAAGGAAACGGGCCGCCCTGTTGAAGAGCAAGCATGCCTGCAACGTCGCCGTCACTTTCCCTCAGCCCATAATTGTTCTGAGGTGTGCCTGAACGGTTATCCATCTCAATGGCTTGGCCAATTGGCATGGGTGGCATTGGAGGCATTGAGCCAGGCGGTGGGCCCCGGCCATATGGCGACGGTTCGCGAGACGGTGGTCCTTGGTCGTAAAAGTTGTTGTTGTTGTTGTATCCTGGAGGAGGAACACCACGACCCATTGGGACACCATTTGGAGGTCGCCCACCACGTCCACCTCCATTCCAACCTGGCGGTGGAGGACCCCGCATACCTCCTCTTGGACCATAGCCTCCTGGTGGGCCATAACCTCCTGGTGGACCATAACCTCCTCCTCTGGGGCCGAAACCTCCTCCTCTTGGACCATATGGACCACCTCGCGGCGGACCTCCTCTTCCTCTGTACGGGCCTCCTCTTCCGCGTGGGGATGCATTCATCATGGGCGCACCCATCATAGGTCCATTGGGTGGAGGATAGCCGTCGTTGGGCATGGGTGGAATAGGGTTGCCGTATTGGTCCACTGGCTGTCGGCGGCCTGAAGGGCCTCGATGCAGGCTCATATTGTCGGCGCCATTCCCAGCACTGCTCACTGTCTTGAGCGAAGGGTTCCGTTGGTTCAAGGGCACCATGTCGTCCGTGGGCGACACTTTGGAAGAGTCAAAGTAGGCTGCGTTGTCATTTGATTTGAGTCCAGACGTCATTGTGTCGCCCGAGAGCGGCGGCGGGGATTCGGCCTTGGGATACTCGGTTGTCACTGTGGCGTTTGCGCGGTTCGCATAGTAGGCCTGGCCGTTCATTTCGTCGTTCTCAGCAATGCGGCGCTTCCTGGCCTTGCGGCTGACGAGCGTTCGCCTCATGGCACATGTTACGATTCCACTCGCGACAATGATGATGGTAGCACCCAGCACAATCCATCCTCCCCAGCTTACGTGCGGAACGAACAGCAGAATGTCAACCAGGAAGGCCAGCAGCGAGATGAGCAGTGTCGGAAACGTGAAGATGAGCAGGGCGAGAAGGTAGCGCGGCGAGTGGGCAGGCGCATGGAAGTGAGCAGCGACCGAGAGGGCAAAGCAGATGAGTGTCATGAGCGCCGCAACGGGATGCACAATGAGAATCGACGACAGGGCATGGCGCTGGGCCGAAGGCAGTGAAAAGTCGGTGTTTTGCTCGGATGCGAATAGTTTCTCTGCATGCACGTGTCAACAATCATCTTGCGCGTGTGTGCGCGCACACACTCTCTTTTCCGTGGCGGCCAAGCGCATTGAACGTACCCGTGTTGTATCCGATCATAGGGCCTTTGCATCCTGAATCGCCCTTTTCGCAGTAGCCAAGAACGCCAAAGTGGACACCGCGGTACGTGGCGAGCGGGATGCTCTTGATGAGGGGCGTCGACAGTGTCGAGAGCAGCAGCAGCACGAATGCGACAAAGAACAAAATGGACAAAGGGGTGGCCGGACGCAACATGGTGGGCGAGGGGGAGGGGGGGGAGGAAAGCGCGGCGTCTTACTGCCGCTTTGAGGATTCTGGACCCGCCAGACGACCGGCTCTCTAGAGTCTTGGGGGGGTGGAGAGGATGCGGACTTGGGGGGAGCAGAGGGAGCAGAGGGAGCGGCGGTCCTAGACGGCGATGACGGCGAGGGCCTGGCTACGGCGGCGAAAGCGCGGACAGAGAGGCGTGGTGGGCGCAGTCGAGAGGCAGCCTAGGCGCGGGAGACCCCGAGGTGAAACGAGTGACGAGGGAGGCTGAACGGGCGATGCCTGCCGTGTCATTGATGCCTGGGTGGGTGGGCGCAGCAGTCCAGGTACACGGGCAGCTCAGGAACGCACAGGTGCGCGAGGGTTTGGAGACAGTCGCGGGCTGTTTCGGTTTGCGGGGGAGCGAGGGCTGAAGAGTGGTAGGTGGCAGATGGAGGGCGTGGGCGTGGTGTGGGCGGGAGGTGGTTGTGAGCAGGGCAGACGGGGCTTGGGGGGGACGGCCAAGAGCGCAGCAACGGGCGACAAGCAAATGCGCAGCCAATGGAGCGCCGGGCGTCTCGACGCGAACGTTGGGGGGGGGGGCTATGCGGCTCCTGCGGGCTAAGCACCGATAGAGC